ACAATGCCATCCGCCATTGACGAAACGAGGCTTCTCCCATTCTCGCGGTATTACCAGGAATTAACGTTATTGAGTGTATGTAAGAGCAATCCTGCCGGAAAGGGCAGGAAAAAGTAACGATATGTCCAAGTTGGTATAAACTCCCCAATATTCGTGACACTGCAGATTTTGTTCACTCACAGACTTAGGCCACTTCCTAGTTACCAGTCGGTGATGTAAACAACCGCTAAGTGTTGCGCATCGGCGATTTCGGCAGAAAACGTGTTTACCACGAGAATAGGAAACCCGCGAGAATAGGAGACGGACCTATATGTAGAAATGTCACTTTTCACAGAATAAAAGAAGTTGTGTATCCATAAAAATTGTCTTCATTCTTCAACTGTGCCTTTAGCGTATGTACATGTGTACCAGTCATTATCAGCACACAGCACAAACATACTTTACAACTTCATATGGTTTCCCCCATCAAACAAACAAAACATTATGTTTCTTAAGGGAAGAGAAAGAAAGACAAACAGACTTTGATATTAATGACTACTTAACTGACTTCAAGATCTTTAGGAATAAAATATCTACTACTGAATTTTGAACTGGACAGTCGAGCTAGGTTACGGAAATATTACTTGTCCAATTTCTAAATTTGCTGGTATTTGGCTGGAGGGCTGGTAGCTATTTTGAACCCTGCACACATTACATGCATGTTAGAGCTGTCTGTGTACTAAAATACCACATTCTTCAACAGCATGAAAATTAGAAAAGGGTGATAATCATCATCTTGAACTTGAAACAACATTATTAATTTAGATTATTCAGACCTAATCTGACAAGATTTTGATGGTTAAACACAGAAATACTTCTCATGAATCTTGGCCTAATAGTTATAAAATAAGCAAACAATAAGGAAGACCTAAGCCTTTTTAACATTGCTAAAAGCAATCCTTGATCATTATCTATCTCTCAGTAAGTTTTGGAAATAACAGATGACACATGGTATGGTAAGAAGGGACCCTATGAACCTTCAAGTCTACTTGAGCTGACATGGGGTATGTCTGCATGATCATTACAGGCTGCTTGAGATGAGGAGGTGATCAAAATGGGAGTTGGTGATTGTCTTAGTAACTACATGAAACAAAGATAAAGAGTGAGTGAGTGAGTTTAGTTTTACGCTGCACTCAGCAATATTCCAGCCATATGGCAGCGGTCTGTAAATAATTGAGTCTGGACCAGACAATCCCGTGATCAACAGCATGAACATCGATCTACACAATTGGGAACGGATGACATGTGTCAACAAAGTCAGCAAGCCTGACCACCCTATCCCTAGAATTCATGTACATTTCCGGGGTTAAATTATCTTGATTACAGGTTTGTCTAAACCTGAAATCGTGACAACTGTTGTGAAAAATGAAAGCTTTATGTTTTCACAATCTACTGTCATTTAATCTTGTCACCTGCTTTGCCTAGCTTCCGAGTTACAACTTGTTTTCATAGACGATTCTGTCAAAATTGCTTGTTGTCATAACAATTACCTGTTGGCCAGATCTGGCTTTTGTTCCCTAATTTACTCGGGTGTTAAACCATTCATGTCAAGTGATTTCAATATGGTTAATTCAGTGGGTTGGCATTTTGGTACAAAGCAGACTCTGACATGTCCGGAAGTAATTCAGACAGCGACAATCTTTCCATTCAATCTTCAATGAAGAAACAATTGCTAGGCCTTATTTGTTCGAGCCAAACACTAGTGAAAGTTAAAACGATGATCAGCGTCGCTCATCACGATCGACTAGTATCTACATAGTGGTGAGTGGACGTTAACCATGTGAATGTAGCAAGAAATTTATCCCACAATATTGTCACTTCTACCCCCACCTTGCTTCCGTGGAAAAAAATCATTATGTTACAAGTTCTGTCATGCAAAATCCTTTTGGTCATGATTTAAATACATATTTAACTACGAGTAGAAAGTAGTTTTGATTTTCTGACTTGATGAAAACAAACCATAATCTCATTTATTCTTGAACAGACTTTTGCCCGTGGCGTACGATTTTTTAAAAATGGCGGCGTCCTGTCGCGAACATCCGACAGTCTGAGAATTAATGCAATTTAGGTTTGTTTACATCGAGCTACAAAATCAAAACTACTTTGTACTGGTAGTGAAATATGTATTTGATTGATGGCCAATAGGATTTTGCATGACATAGCTTATGACATAACAATTTCTCTCTTGGAAGCGAGGTGGGTGTCAATATAATACTACTTACAATATTATTGTCACTTCGACCTCAACCTCGCTTCCGAGGAAGAAATCGTTATGTTACAAGTTGTGTCATGCAAAGTCCTTTTGGTCATCAATTATATACATATTTTACTACAACTGGTAAGTAGTTTTGATTTCTTTCTCTCGATGAAAACATCGAGAAATCAGCGAAATAATGAGCTTATTACAGACTTTATATACAACTGACTGAAAATCATTCCTCACATAATGTCACTTCTGGTTCGCTGCAGTGCTCTGGCGACAGAGTTACGTAACCTCTCTGTGGTTTCGTTGGCGGGCGAGAGTGAAGCAGCTGGCTTTTTGGCAATTGTAATCGCTTGGTATTAATAATCTACAAGTTTTTTTAAGAATGAATTTGGTGTTCCGCTGAAGATTAACCACAAGTCTTTCATATGTAATGGTTAAAAGTGTACAAAAAGACAAAGTTTATTCGTTCTTTAAAAACTGACAGCTTGTCAATTTTTTATATGCAATTTCTGATTGGAGTCATGTGATTCTGTTATGTATCTCTTTAATTACTGCAACCACTTCTTAACTGCGTAACGACACAAGTGTTTGCACAAGTTATCTGCTGTTGAAATGACCCAATTTTGAACAACAAATAGAAACAAAACAAACAATCTCTAAACCTTACCATCCAGAATATATTCATGATGACATTACTGAATGAGGGTTGGGAAATAACTGCAATCAATATCTGCATATGAATTAGTCCATCGTCTGATGTTCTGTTATTTTTTCAACATCTGCATAAGTATCTGCTCGAAAACAAGCATGTTTTCACTCATACATTCAGAATTTGCAATTAAGCATGAAAGTAAAAGAATCCTTGTCAAATTTAAATGTTATAAGTTAAAGATATAGGTGGTGCCTAGACTCAAATATTACACAGGAACAAATCTCAAAGCCCCTGGCTGAGAATGCCCCCTAACATATTTGGATTAATACATCTTGCATCCAGTGCATGTTGACATGAAAACCTTATTGCATTAGATGAAACAAAGTTGCACACTGGTCCTATTAATCTATCAAAATACACAATATCTCAGATCTCTAGTTGACAGTTTCATGATCATTATGCATTCATTACTAACTGATAAAGTATTCATATCACAATGTCATGAGTGGTATAATGCATATAGATTATCATTAGTTGAATAACCCAAATTTCATAACATAATACATATGTCTTTTTCAGTGATAGATTGATGCTATGCTATGGTACAGTACAGTACAGTACAGTACAGTAAGATTAATGTACCCACAATCTGATGTCAAGAAAAATTTAAATAAGTCACACATAACAAAGGGATTATTGACGCGGTATGGTAAATAGAAATGAGAGAAACTGATTGTGTTTGAAATTCAGTATTGTTTGATCAAGTAAAGGTTACTAGACACAAATTTGAAATTCTTTGCTTGCAGGAATACCAGTTTGCATTTTTCAAAAACAACTCGCACTTGTTTTATATAGCTAAATTGAGCCCTTTAATACTAGTTTCATATTGTAATAAGAATATTGAACATCAAAAGGTTTGACATGAAACACTGGACAGGACATGCTTATGAAGGTCCAACGTTAATTAGCATGATATTTCTGACCTTTGGAGGAAGGTATGTCTGTATGTGTGGCATCTGGGCAGCCCCCTTCACTGACTGAGACATGGGTCACAGACAAGTGTCAAGGTGGAGTCAGGCAGGTGGAGAAGGAAGTCAGAATGTGTAACATAGAGAAGATATGCTACCTGCTCTCCAGGAAATGCTTTCATGTTAATTGGGTAAATTGAAGTTAAAAACATTATCTTTAAAACATGTTCTCTTTATCATTCTAGGTGTGGTAACCAGAAACAATTTTTTATTTTCTTCTTCTTATTATCTATTTTATTTTATTTTTTGAAGGTGTGAGTGTGTGTGTGTGTGGAGAGAGAGAGAGAGAGAGAGAGAGAGAGAGAGAGAGAGAGAGAGAGAGAGAGAGAGAGAGAGAGAGAGAGAGAGAGAGAGAGAGAGAGAGAAAGAGAAAGAGGGAGGGAGGGAGAAGGAAGGGTGAGAGAGAGAAGGGAGAGAGTGTGGGGAAGGGGGTTTGAGTTGAAGATTACAGTACTGGTCGTAATGATGGTATTTGGAACTTTTTAATATCCACAGTTGACAATACTCAAGTAACAGGATCTTTTAACAGCAGGGCAGTATTTCCAGCTGTTCCCTGTACAACTATAGACAACCACAAATGCACAGAGTACAGGGTAGGAGAATCATGTATTCACCAAGGTGGTGTGAAACTGACTTTCTCCTAGTTCTCAAGAGTCAATGATGACAATTCAGTGATCTCAAAATCAGTATATTTTCATTGAACAGCCCAAGATTTAAAAGTGTTCCTTCATCATGCCAAATGCTTGGGTTTCAATTCCACACAAGGATACTCGGTTTGAAGGACATTTCTGTTATCCCGTACCATAATATTGCTGAAAGCAGTGTAAAACCATACTCACTCACACACTACACCATTGAACCAGTTTAATGTACCAGTTGTTGTAAATCTTGGATGCAGTATCTGAATGACCATCATCAAAAACCAGCACACTGGAATCAAGCAGCCGCAATCTACACTGATCAATATGAAAAATTTCTCAAGCACATCCATCAAATCTTGGATGCAGTATCTGAATGACCATCATCAAAGCACACTGGAATCAAATATCCCATCCGAACAACATACAAAGCTTACCTAATGTACTGGCAAGTTGTAGTATTTCAAGCAGTAGATTTAAGACAGTCTCTCACTCCCAGGTAGAGATTATAATCTGCAACAGATATATGAATGTTCTCAAATATAAGGGTCACATATAACATAATTGAGTGCCTGTATCAAATTGTTCATCAGTAAGAGCCAGGAATATTACATGTCTGTCCCATGATGGTGGTATATGTCCACACACTTCTATATGGAGTAAATAATGTGAATATGTCTGAACTCATATTTTCAAGTTGACTGGAAGTCAGCTTGTCAGGGATGTATCTTAACCTGATCTTTGTTTGTCATTTCATGCCACACTCAGCAATATTCCAGCTATATTACAGAGCCGAGTAAATAATACATACCACCAGGGAATGATGACATGCTGTCAACCATGTCACCAAGCATGACCACCAAGTCTATTAAGTTATCTCATATTACAAGCATAGCATGAATCATAGGAGCAATGTTAACTCGGAATGAACATAACCAACCTGAAATGTACTAAAGAATACAAAAGGACACCCCAAAAGCATGAAATTCTACTAGTCTTCATAAACATTAGACAAAATAACTTGGTCAGTCTTCCAAACCAAAGAGAATAAATTAAACAGGACTCTTACTAAGTCTTGAATGATTTGTCAAGTAGAGATTGCCTCAGCTCTAAGAAATTAAGGATTGCATTTGGAATTTTTTTTAGACAATATTTGTTTTATATATTTGATTAAATAAGATAACTTTATTTCTGTGATTAACTGTCAGTCTAGAACTGATTCACAACAGAATACTAGTGCCAAATGGCATCCCTGCTTGTTGTAACTTCTGTTGATATGTTATTGGTCTATTTGTCACCTGTTGCTCTTAAACAATTCACAAATTCGCCACACTTTTGTATCACAGTCACATCCTAGTACAACTGTTTCAGACAAGAGCGCTGATACGAGATATGAAAAAATTCTTATGTCATTTTTTTCAATTGCAATGCCATTCCAGAATCAGCACATAACAAACATAGCTGGAAACATTGAACTGAACACTGAAAACATAGAAAGACATGCTCCCAAACCAGAAACACTATGATCCCTTGGGACATATCAGTGACAAAAGAGACATCGCCTGTTTCACCAAGTGCTGGCTGCACACTGCACATTCTGCAGGTACAAGTCCAGAGAAGGGAACAGTTGAGATGTCCATGAGCCAATCATCTTCACGTGTATACATATCATCAACATCATTAGAAAACACAATCACTCACAGGTGCCATGATGACACAAATCATACTTGCTAATAAGAGTAATTAAGAGTGAGTGAGTATCATATTACCCTTTTCAGTATCAACAGTATCACAGTGGGAGCACTGGAAATGATCTGTACACACTGTACTGAAGGGAATTGAACCCATGTCTTTGAAATAACCATTAAGTTACCCCATTTGGTAGCGTAAATGAGCTCAGACAGTGTTAACCTGTTTAAGGTATATTCTAGGCAAATCATGATGAGGAATATCACGATAGGAATTCCAACATCCATTTCGGGAATCAAACACAGGTCTTTGTCTAATCTATATACAAATGATATTCTGGCACTCACTGTCTAATTCCGAAGTTAATCAACAGTCACTTCAAAGTTTCTATGCAACACGTCAGCTATAAATATGTTCTACTTGTTGTGGTAACAGTGCAACACTGATTACACTGATAACACACTGATGATGGTCAATATACAAACACTACTGATAATATGTGATGTCTATCTAAAATGTATCTGAACATGGATGCTAATCAGTTTGATAATCAGTTGGGTGGTGACACTTCAACACTGATGTTGGCCACTATGTCATAGGCTTCAGTGTTACTGAATTTGTTCACTTCCAATATACATACCAATAAACAACTGTAATTTTGATTATACAACAGAGTTCATCAATGTTCATCATATGGTGATGACATGTAATAATCTAATGCCTAAGGCTTTAGGAAGGATAACAATATATGCATGAACAACTTCTTTATTACAGTGAGAGAAGCATTTCGGTATAGGTTCTAACACTGTTATCAAACAAGTGAGTGAGTGAGTGAGTATGGTTTTACGCCGCTTTTAGCAATATTCCAGCAATATCACGGCGGGGGACACCAGAAATGGGCTTCACACATTGTACCCATGTGGGGAATCGAACCCGGGTCATCGGCGTGACGAGCGAACACTTTAACCACTAGGCTACCCCACCGCTCTATCAAACAAGTGATGAACAGAATACATATGAACATATGAAGGCTACATATCACTACAGGGGGCTACAGATCATCCTGCATGAGAAGTCTCCCAATATGTACTTTGTACTTTGGATGCAGAATCCTGATGGAAACATGCACAAGTACAGGTTTAGAAAGACATGGTGGTGGAAAACACAAACTGTTCATGATTTTTATCAGAACTCCTTTCAAAGTTCATATTCAGTGAAACAGTATATTTATAAAGAGAAGTATGTGATTAAGGCTTCAGTGAGTGATTTGTAAATCAGATGTTTGTTTTTTAATGATTTGTACGTAATTCAGGGCTTAAAAATGTTGATAGAAACAAATAAAATACGGATATCGAACAAAGAATGAATGTAGTGATACAGTCACCACAGCTAATGTGAGTCAAGGTCAACGACTATCAGTTTCTGTTCAATATCTCATGAGAATACAATCTAACCAAATCTATGACACTCCCAGCTGGTGTCCTTGTCGCAATTGATTCTTTCATGCTTCATGAAAATAAATGCTAAAAGTATCTGTCTGTGGGGTTGCAATGAAACTTGAAAGCTCACAGGGTTAAAACTATTCACCAAGCTGTTCCATCAAAGTACGAAAATCAATTGAACAATAGATGAGACATCAGCCATGACTGAAACTAGAGCAGAAATCACCCTGTTTGTTTGAATAAGATTTCAGTTACTCAAATACTGCTTATAACTTGCAAGTTCTCACATGTTTCTTAATTCTAAAGGCATGGGTGGCCTAGTATTTACTGTACAGAGAAGAATCCCACGGGCTCACCAAAACCAATGACTGAAGGTTGGAATCCTTGTCCTGAGAATGTTTTTTACATTTGTCTGTCCCATACCGTGTGTTTTACCAAAGTGGTAAATGTAGATCTGGAGACCTCACCTCAGGCTTGCCTTCCATATTAAGTAAAGACTGACCCAGTATTTTGTGGATTCATCTAACAGTTTTCCGAACGAAGCATGGAAGTCAAGTGGATTGGCCCATGCTGGAATGACCATGATGTTAACTGTATAAATATTAGGATCCCTGATTCAAATGCTATTGAAACAAACCACTAATACCCCTTTACTTTCCACCACAATACCAAATGTGATAACAGAAAGTAATATGTACATCAGTACTTTACCCATGAATACCCGGGTATAAGTACCTTACCCGGGTTAGAATTGGTCTTCAGTAACCCATGCTTGTCGTAAAAGGCGACCAACGGGATCGGGTGGTCAGGCTTGATGATTGACACATGTCATTGTATCCCAATCCCGTAGATTGATGCTCATGCTGTTGATCACTGGATTGTCTGGTCTAGACTTGATTATTTACAGACCACCACCATATAGCTGGAATATTGCTGAGTGTGGCGAAAAACTGATGCATAACACTCATATAAGCTATTGAAGCAGAATTAGTAGGGAGAGGCATACAGAAGGATCCTGCCTTCAGATCCCATAGTGTATGATCTATCATTATTATATTCTTAAGGGTGAAATACTGTAAATATTGGTGAAAATAAAAATGGTATTTTCACTGAGTAGAATATCACTTTGCCTGGAAGTTGGAACTCAAGGGCTAGACTGTAGTTGGGTTGCGTAATAATATGCAGACTTACTCCATATCTCGATCATTTATAAACAATAATCAAAATATAATAAATAGAATATTCTGCGCCACTCATGAACATATCAACTTTGTCAGACCAGGAGATGAAATATACATGTTATTTGACAACATTAACAAAATATCCTCTATGTAGTGTGAAAACTAACACAGAATAATGAAAAATAGGTGAGATAACTGTCCTGCTGAATAATGGAAGAGAACCCATTAGTCCAGGTTAGAACAAGGACTTGAAACTCTAACCAACTGACCTGAACATATTATGTGTCCCAGCTCTATCACAAACTGACAGGTCCTGATGATTTCACACATACCAAACAGCAGTCACACTCATTCTAGTACATACATACCTTGTGTTATGTAAATATACCACTTAGATTGATAACCTGGCTAATCTAAATGACGTATTGCAAAAATGATGTGACAAAATTAGGCCACAGTATGTTGATACCCTCTGTCCGATCACAGTGACCCAACATTATCTCTTGGACTTACACCTCATTCATCTAACCTGGAAAGCAGCCCACGCGAGATAGGAGATGCGTACCGGAACCAGCAGAATGTCTAGACTTGCTTGAATCTGTCAATTAGGGCTGCAGCATAACCATTATCGCCATAGAATTACAACTAGAGCTAGGCGGAACGAGTAATAACATGGTAGAGGGACTGTGAGACATGTTAATGATCTCCCTGCAACACTTAAAAGGTGGTTTCTGTGATCTATGACATATGAACCCCCCTCAACATGCTAACCTCAACTCCTTGTACCTGACAAGCAAGGGGATATATCAGTTATAGTCCGTTTGGCTCAAAAGCAGACCGATGAATTGCAATCTAACTCGAAAACTTATAAACATAAAATACTCAATGAAACACTGATCATAATGAAAACGTCAGACCAACTCTGAGAGGTGTTTGCAGAATTTATGTCCTAAAATTAAAAAAGTTGTTTAACAAACTATCATTAAAATATCAACACAGTTCACTATTTGTTACGAGAAGGAGTGCAGAGAAAGGGACAGCCGGGTGTGTGAGAAAGGATGGAGACGGCACAGCACAGGTTAATGAATCAATAACTTTGTCAGCACTTGTGCACGTGCTTCTCTAACACCTGGCTGTCCGTTTCTCTGCACTCCTCCCTCGTAACAAATAGTGAACTGAGTCAATATTTTAATGATAGTTT